TTTGAGACACCGTCTCGCTCTGTCACCTAAGCTGCAGTGCAGTGGCGTGATCTCAGCACACTGCAGCCTCTGCCTCCCGGGTTCAGGTGATCCACCTCAGCCTCCTGGTAGCTGGAACTACAGGCACACACCATCACACCCAGCTAATTTTTGTCTTTTTAGTAGAGATGGGGTTTCGCCATATTGGTCAGGCTGCTCTTAAACTCCTGGCCTCAAGTGATCTGCCCGTCTTGGCCTCCCAAAGTGCTGGGATTACAGGCATGAGCCACCACACCCTGCCAGGCAGTCAACTTCTGAAGGTTAAGGAGATTTAACATTTAAATTTCCCAAGATCCAAAGTAGTCGTGTTTGATTTTACTATCCCTGTGTGTGCTGTTGGGAAACTAATGGGAGGAGATTTAATAGGGGTGGTGCAGACCAGCTCACTCATTCCAGCAAGATTCCCTCCATGGCAGCACCCCAGTAGGGCCCTGCATTCCAGGTCTAATCCTTTGCTTGAGGGACTAAGAAGTTCGGATTTGTTAGAGCACAGAAAATGACTTGAGCTCTAGGAGCGGCATTCAGGCTGAGTGTGCTCACAAGAGCCTGGGGAATAAACTAGAGTGTGAGTTTATTAACATTAGCAAAGGCCCCACCACCTGCCTTTCCATCTTGGCATATTCTCCTCATGTAGAAGATTCAGGTGCCAAAGGGTAATATAATTGGAAGGCTGCTTGGTGAACACGGAGTCAGCCCGTGAGGAGTGAGCTGGATAATCCAAATGCTTAAGGATGTCAGGCCCACGTGTCCTTCTCCCCAAGGAGGGATAAACTGTTTTTAACTTGATACTGAAGATTCTAAGATTGTTGTAAGTCTTTCATTTAATTATTTTACTTAATGTGGTAGCATTTATTCTTTTTCTTGAAAAGCCACCATTGAATTGAGGTATATCAAACAAAGAGCTGCTAACATCTAGACTGGAGGTAGTGTGGTGCATGCATTGGTCTGCCACCGAACCCTTGGGTCGGAGTCTCATCCTGTGTGCATTGCGAAGACCTTGCCACCGTCACCAGATTCCCCATTTGCTGACTTTCCTCACTCACTCTGTGTCACATTCTTTAACTGTGTTGATACCATTCAGTTGTGGCTCTGAATTTGCCGATGCATGTCGATTTCTTAGTCTAACTCTGGTGTTGGAGGCTACCTTACTGGTACTTCTGTGTATTGTTTGTATATAGTTATAAAGCTTTTAAAGAAGAAAACAAAAGAAAGTGGTCCCCACACAGGAGGACTAGGTGGGAATGCTTGGAAACAAAGGGGCACACCAGCGTCGGGCGACAGCTCTCCGTGTGCCTGACAGCAGCAGTCTCAGTTGGGTCTCGTTTACGCATCTTCTTGTGCCTGGCTCTTCCATTTTGTACCTCACCTGTTTTTTCCACATTCCTTTTCCCCTTCTTAGTGTCCATAATGTGGATTCCAAGTATCAGAATCCAGTGATTAGAATGTCTAAGATTCTTCCCTAGAATTTTGCAGTTATTTTTTACTGCTATGTTGTTTGACTAGTCTCCCTCCCCTGCAATAGGTCAGTGACTTTCCTTCTATCTAAACTTCTGAAAATTTTCCAGAGACTTCAACTGTGAGACAGTTTGGGTCCTTTTAGCAAGAGTATATACTTACAGCAGAGCCTTTTGATTAAGGTTTGAAAAACTATTCTAATTTTTTTCTGTAAATATATTTATATTCTGCTTATATACCCAGACACACAGGAAACTTTGGGTGAACTGCTTTGAGGATTGGGTTTTGTTTTAAAAGCCTTTGTGTGCTGGCAGGCAGGACAGAGAAGAACTGCAGTTTTGCTCTTTGTTTCATTGATCCTTGTTTTAAGCCTACAGCACCCAGTATTCCCAGGCAGTCTCCCCTCCAAGTACTAACCAGGCCCAACGCTGCTTAGCTTCTGAGATCAGACAAGATCAGGCACGTTCAGAGTAGCATGACTGTAGGCCTTATTAATTTTTAAAGTTCACTTGGAATCATTAGAGTAGCCAAGAAAAAGAAAAAAAAAAAAGGACATCTTACTGCAGCTGTTAATAAAACATAAAGTAGCAATATAGTCTTGGTATAGGAAAGGAAAGATTGGGCCACAATCTACAAACAGACCCATTTATAGATGGGATTTCTGGGTACAATAAAAATAACACTTCATATTAGTGAAGAAAAGATTCATGGTGTTGGGACAGCTGATTAGCCATTTGGAAAAGACAAAGCTAAAATCCCATCTCCTAACATACACAAAAATAAATTTCAGGTCAATTAAAGATATAAAGGGAAATTTAAAATAGAAAACAAGGATCATTATTTATGTTTTTTTTTTTTTTTTTTTAAAAGACAGGGACTCTCTCTGTCACCTAAGCTGCAGTGCAGTGGTACAATATCAGC